ATTCTATCTGGAAAGCAATGGAAAAAATATCCTCAGGTGAGGATTAAAATAATAATAATAATAATGAAGTAATAATAATTTGGTTTCAAATATTAAATTCACAAATTTGAATTAAGCCAGTATATTTGTAGAGAAATTTCCAAAAAATTTAGTAGGTCTGGTAAAAGGGGAAATATTTTAATGCTGTGAGGTCCTGTTTAATAATGGCTAATTCCCTAATTTAAAAAAAAGCTGACTATTTACATAACATTTATCAAACTATTATTAAAGAAATGTTAGAAAAAGGAAATTTCTGAAAATAAACAGTTTTTTTAAAAAGTGTTTCCTAAATACTATAATTAGCTAAGTATTTATTTCTCTGAGTAAGACCTAAAAATCATAGGCAGCCAGTATATCTATGAGATACAGGGAACGATTACATTTTGTGAGAAATTCAGAAAAGACTCAGTTTCTATGAAGACTATAAATTCACTTGTCAGAAAATTAGAAACTACACTAAATTCATTCAACTAAACTAGCTAAATTCATTCAACTTTGACCGTCAGTAAATATGTGCTCCAAAACACAGGGGTCAATAGTAAATTACTGCTGAAAGATACCTGATGATGGTATTTAACTTAACCATAATCATATACTCTCCAAACACTAAAAACTGTTAGATGTATAGCTGTATAATAAAATTCAATTTTCTATTATTTTATTCCATAAAGCTCTTTGAACCATACAGTATAAAAATTTTTGGTCTTGAGTTTTGGCTTTGAAAATTAGGCCCTATTTAAATATTTAAAAAGAGAAAAATGCTCGCTTAAACAATTATGAGTCAGTCAACTGTGAATCTTTACTGGCCAAATCCATTACTCCTTCAAGTGACTTGTTACCCTTCATCACTTGTCTGTACATGTGCTGCAGAGTTTGTGGAATATTTTGTGATTAATGCAGATAATCAATCACCTGAACAGCTGACCAAGTCAACACAAATGGGAGCTTAAAATCTTCTTGAGAGACCACAAGAATTTGTTTAAAGTCTTGGATCTTATTTGCAGATTGCTTTTTGATCCCCAATGACTTTAGCTAACAATGATGTAGCACCCTCCTGAAAAGCAATCTTCAAATCTCTGTAGAAGTATATTAAATCTTGGGGAAAATGACATATGTGCATCCAGTCCAGATGCTAATATGCTGGAAAAACAAATGAGAGCAATTTCCTTCTAGAGTAAAACACCTCATCAGCAGATAGGAATGAAGACTGTATAAAGGTGTTTTATTAATTAGTAACTCACAGAAAGTTAGTGTTAAGCCACCTTAAGTTTTAAAAATTTGCTAATTATCATTCTGAAATGATTCTCAACAGCCTCCCCAAGATGTGATACTTTGATTTATAGATTATTTTAAGCTGAAAGCAACTGAGGATCTCTGGGCCTAAGAGAAATCTTTATCTCTTCCTTACTGAAACTAAATTGGGTGCTTTGCCTATAGTAACAGTTATTATCATAAATGACTTTTTATTACCTACAGGGCAGGACAAGCATGTAATTACTGAATGTCTGCTCTTCTTATCATCCTTCAAATGACCTTCCTACCCTCTGAAGCCCCAAGGCACGGTCCCTTGTCCTTAGCTCAGAAGGCTACATATATCTTGTTTTAACTTTGTTTCTGAATCTTCTCATATATGTGGGGTCTCTGACTCGCCCATGTATGTGGGGCTCCCATATGTACATATGTAATTAAATTTGGCTATTTTTCTCTTGTTAATCTGTCTCTTGTCAGTGTATTAGACCAGCTGAAAGAACCTAGAAGGGAAGAGGAAATTTTCTTCCTCCCCTACAATACTTATAGTATTTTTTAACCTAACTGGAGAAAGTTAATTTATTACTGATTGTTTAACATATTCTAAAGTAACACAGAATGAAAATTGATTACCTAATCAAGTAGCAACAGAAGAGTAAACTAAGGATGAAGACAAATATAGCAGTGCCAAAAACCACAATATATATGTTGAGAGGCAGATTCTGGAATCCAATATTAGGCATCCTGAAGTTGTAATGTGGGAAATCCGAGCTCATGGATGAACTGTGGGGGAAAAAAGAATTTAAAAAATTAGGTTATAAAGACTAAGAACCAAGACAGCATCATCTTTGTAAATGTACAATAGTCCCTCTTTATCCCTGGGGAATACATTCTAAGACCCTCAGTGGACTCCTGGAGAGTACCAAATCCTATATACAGTACGTATAGGAAAAAACACGTTTTTTTTCTATACAGGTACAGCGTAGATATGCTGGACAAAGGGATGATTCACATCCAGGGCTGGATGGTGAGAAATTTCCTATACTACTCAGAACAGCACTCAACTTAAAATTTATGAATTGTTTATTTCTGGAATTTTCCATAAATGTTAATGTCAAGGGAAACAAAGTTATGTGGGAAAAATTAAGCAGGCTATAAAGTGTATATATATGTGTCTTTTGTTCACATTTCTGGCTTATAGTTCTGGAAACACTTAAAATTTTTTGAGTGCTGAGAATGAAAAGGTGTCTTTTGTTATATTAATGAGGTGAGTTTTGGAAGCTATATAGAGATGGGGGCATAAAAACTCCTTGGTCCTTTTTTGGAGAGCTTCAGGGTCAGTGAACACATGGAGGTGCTGGGAAAATGATATGCCTGGAGAGGTTATGGAAGCTCCATGCACCTTCAAACACACCTTCCCCTATGCATCTCTTCCATCTGGCTGTTCCTGAGTTATATCTTTTTGTAATAAACCAGTGATCTAGAGTTCTGTGAGCCATTCTAGCAAACTAATTGAAACCAAGGAGGGCGTTGTCGGAACCACTGAGTTACAGGCAGTTGGTCAGAAGTACAGGTAACAACCTGGACTTGTGATTGGCATTCTGCGTTGGAGGGGTCACTGGTGTCTTCAATCTATTGCTGGTTGGTCAGAAGTACAGGTAAGGGAATAAGCTTGAGGCTGGTGCCTGAAGTGTATGTGTGTGTATGTAGTATTGTGGGACTGAACTGTTAACCTGTGGAATCTGATGCTATCTTTGGGTAGATAGCGTCAGAATTTGGTTGAATTCTTGGACTTTTTTTTTTAATCCTCACCTGAGGATATTTTTCTCATTGCTTTTCAGAGAGAGTAAGAGGGGGGTGGGGGGAGAGAGACATCCGATGTGAGAGAGACACATAGACTGGTTGTCTCCTGCACATGCCCTGACTGCCCTGACTGGGGGCAGGGAGTGAACCCGCAACCAAGGTATGTGCCCTTTACTGGGGATCGAACCTGCGACCCTTTGGTGTACAGGCTGATGCTCTAACCACTGAGCAACACTGGCCAGGGCTTTAGGTATTACAAATGTAAAAGTTATTCAGGGCTTGGACATCCTGTTAGTGTCTCAGAACTCTGGGTGTGGGGCACTCCCCCACCCCATGTTGAAAGTGGGTCCACTAACCCTTTCCAATTCCTTAGAAATACCCTTCAATCCCTTAGAAATATCCTTCATAGGACAAATTAGATTTGGTAAAATAGCTCTCAGTTTAGGAAATAACAGATTTAAACATCCATGCTGACAGGACTAATAGAGAAATAGGCAAACAGACAGAAAGTGGTGTGGTGGGAAAAGGAACAGGTTTGCAGTAAGCAATTCTGGATGTTGGCTCCAGGATGTCACTAACTAGATGTTAGTACTTGGCCCATCTATACCTCAATTTTCTCATCTCATCTAAGGTTTTAATATGTGCATGTGTGTGTGTGTGTGGGGGGGGCAGCGGGGAGGGATGACATTAAATAAAAGTAGTAAATAACATAAAAGAAGCCCTGACAAAGATCATGTCTCTGGAGAGGATTCCACTAAACCCAGTGTGCTCCTTTCTCAGGGAGCTCCTCTGCACACACTGCTAAGCTTTGTGTCAACTGACCTGCCAACCTGACTCCCATATGCAGGGATTGGACACCTATCCTGACCTAAGGCAGCCATCAATTCAGGTCAGAGGGGAGTAAGCTTGTGGTGTGAGAATGTTGCCCCTGTAGGGGTCCTTGCACTTGGTGGCACCACTAAGGAACTCTTGGGGAATTCTAAACAGACACACAGACACATAGGGTATTAGAAGTAGTGCTGTCGTCACAGGGAAGAGACATCTGCCTCAGTGCTCTTGAGGGCTGAATGCTGAGACTTCCGTTCTTGGCAGGGGCTTACAACCCATTACAAGAAGGGTGGGGCTTGGCAGAGGATACACCGATGCAGAATACATTTTAGGACTTTTCTCCCTTTAGATAAATGAAATTGCTTAGCTACATGATTAATATGTTGGTCCAACAGTCTAAGTAGATGGCGTATTACTCTAAGGTATTAATCCTGGTCTAGTGATACATTAATTTCATAATATTTTCATCATAATATCTTTTCAGCATGAGTATTAGTAATCTTTCAAAATAAGATAATCTTTAACAAGAGAGATACTACTTACCATCCTAGTAATAAGCATTCTTTGCCTTTTAGGTATTACAAATGTAAAAGTTATTCAGTAATTGCTCCTTGTGGGAGTGAAGAGGAGAAACAGAATATACAGTGCACTGCTGGATGCTGGAATTTCTGACTTCAATTACATGAAAAGCCTTTCCCCCCTTGTATAATTCATAGTTCCTGAAATTTCTAGTATCAGCCTAAATTTTAAACCATCTTATCATGTTATTATTTTTTTTTTTTTAAAGAAAAGAAATAGGCAGGATGATGAGTATTTTATCAGCAGTGGGATTTCTCACCAAGATACAAAAGACACAGGGTACATGAGAATTGTGACTGTGATTTAATACTTTTTATTATATCCTGCCTTCTACTTGCTTTGGGTTTAGTTTGCTCTTCCTTTTCTAGCTTCTTTATAGTGAAACTGTAGATTATTGCTTTGAATTCTTTACTCTTTTCTAATACATACATTTCCCTCTAACCTCTGCTTTAACTATGTCCCATTATATTATTTTTTAAAAATTTTGAATTGGTTTTTAGAGAGAGGGAGAGAGAGAGGAAGAGGTAGACGGAGGGAGGGAGGGAGAGCAGGAGGGGGGGGAGAGAGAGTGAGAGAGCAAGAGAGAGAGAGAGAGGTAGGGAGAGAGGGAGAAACATTGATGTGAGAGCGCAACATTGATCCGTGCCTTCTCCATGCCCCCTACCGGTGATGGAGCCCACAACCCAGGCATGTGCCCTGACCGCAACCTTTCAGTGCAGGGGACTATGCCCAACCAAGCCATACCAGTCAGGGTGTTGTGCAACCACTACCTCTGTCTAAATCCAAAACATTTAATCTCTCTAAATTTAATAAAACCCTGTACCATGAAGAAGTTACTCTCTATGCCTTCCCTCCCTGCAGAACCAGCCACCACCAAACTACTTTGTTTCTATGGATTTACCTATTCTGGATATTTCATATATATGGAATCATTATATGAGACTTTTTGTATCTGGCTTCTTTTACTTTGCATAACATTTTTGAGGTTCATATCCATGTTGCAGTATGTGTCAGTACTTAATTTCTTTTCATGGCTGAATAATACTCCATTGTATATATATCCCACAATTTGTTTATCCATTCATTCCTTGATGGACTTTTGGGTTCCTCCACCATTTGGCTATTGTGAATAATGCTACTATGAACATTTGTGTTCAAGGACTTGCTTGAGTAACTATTTTCAATTCTTTTGGGTATATTCCTAGAAGTGGATTACTGGGTTATATGATAATTCTATGTTTAACTTTTTGAGGAATCACCAAACTGTTTTCCACATGGCTATATACCATTTTACATTCCTACCAGTAATGTATGAGGATTCAAATTTCTTAATATCCTCACTAACACCTGTTTATTTATTCTGTGCTTTTTATTTTTTAAATACCCATACTCACCGGTGTGAAGTGCTATTTCATTGTGGTTTTAATTTGCATTTCCCTAATTAATGATGATGTGGACCACGTCATATGCTTATTTCATTTGTGTATCTTTGGAGGAATGGCTATTTAAGTACTTTGCCCATTTTAAAATTGGGCTGTCTTTTTATTAAGTTGTAAAAGTTCTTTATGTATTCTGGATACTAAACCCTTATTAAATATATGATTTACAAATATTTCTCCCATATTGTAGTTTGTCTTTTCACTTTCTTGATGTCCTTTGATGCACAAAAATTTAAAGGCCTAATTTATCTTATTTTTTCTTTTCTTTTTTCTTTTGTGGTTCATGCTTTTGATGTCATATCTAAGAATCCATTGCCAGTTCAAGATCATGTAGATTTACCTCTATGTTTTCTTTTGAGTTTTAGTCTTATCTTTAGGTCAGTGGTCCATTTTCAGTTAGTTTTTGTATAGGACATGAGGGGGAAGTCCAGCTTTATTCTTTTGCATGTGAATATCCAGCTGTCCAGCACCATTCTTTAGATGATGCTTTGCCCACTGAATGGTCTTTGCACTCTTGTCAAAAATCAATTGGTCACAGATGTTTGGGGTTTATTTCTCGACTCTCAAATATACTCCATTGGTCTATGTCTATCTTTATGCCAGTACCACAGTTTTGATTACTGTAACTTTATAGTAAGTTTTGAAACTGGGAAGAGTGAAGTCTTCCAACCCTGTTTTCTTGTTTCCCAAAACTGTTTTGGCTATTTGAGGCCCCTTGCAATTCCATAAGAATTTGATGACTGGCTTTTCCATTTCTGCAGAAAGATGATTGGAACTTTGATAGGGACTACACTGAATCTGCAGATTGCATTGGTTAGTCATCCTATTATTTTGGTTTGCTGTATTTTCATTTGAGAGATGTTCCATGTATGCTTGAGAAGAACGTGTATTCTGCTGTCATTAGGTAGTGTGTTTCATAAACACCAGTTACGTCAAGTTGGTTGATAGTGTTGTTTAACTCTTATGCATCCTTGGTGATTTTTGGTGTAGTTGTACTACCCATTATTGAGAGTGAGATATTGAAGTTTTCAATTGTTACTGTTGAATTACCTATTTTCCCCTTTAATTCTGTCAGTTTTTGCTTCATGTATTTTGGGGTTCAGCTGTTAGGGTAGCAAATGTTTAAAATTGTATCTTCCTGATTAATTGACTATTTTATTATAAAATGTCTTTGTCTTTAGTAATTTCTTTTGTTTTAAAATCTATTTTGTCTGATATTGGCATAGCCACTTTAGCTCTCTTATGCATATTCTTTGCAAGATGTATCTTTCTCTATCATTTTGTGTCTTTGAGTCTAAAGTATGTCTCTTG